TATTATGATATCCTGAAGGAGGAGGTTCAGGTGAGCCTTGATGGGGCATTTGGCTGCTGGGATCTCTTGTACTGGTGCTGGTGGGGGGACTGGGACAGAAACAAGGCTGGCTGGCAGGTCCTGAGAAGAAATATGCTCAGAAACAGGGGAAAATTATAAAACTGTACTTTCTGCTTTGTTTCGTGAATAGTTTTAAAAGCAAAAGCAATCCTAAATCTTCAAGGCTGAATCTTTGGTTTTGTCAGATTTTCTTTTCAACGCCAGCACTTCAGAGCTTGTGGACAGAGCTCTAAAGCTGCTCCAAAGGGAAGTGCTGGAGTGCAGGGACAGCTGAGGCTCCTCCAGAGGAGATGGGAGGTGGCAGATGGTGGTGGCATTTGCTTATCAGAACAAGAGCTGTGGCATCTCTCAGGGTGCTGGGAGAGCTGTACAGTGAAGTGAGAGTTGTCTGTGTGCACTCACCAGCTATTGCCTCTGGTCTGGAAAACTGCTCCTGTTTGGTGCAACTTGCTGAAAAGATGAATTTAGGCAAGGAGAAGCAATGGGAAGGGCATCAGTCTTGTGCTGGGCTTGAAGGGAAAGTCAGCAGGGCTGCCACACCTCTTACCATCACCAGGAAACCCAGAGTTTGGACTCCAGAAACAATCATTAAGGGTTGGAAGGGCATCCACATCAGAGGTAACACCAGCCCCACTGAGAACCTCAGCTCCAGCCATTCCAGATCCCATTTTCAGTGTCCTTTCCTTGTGCTCAGGTCTGTGACATCCAGAAAGTGATGTCATATTCTGTTTTAACATCTAAAATATTCAGACTATTTGACTGGAGAGGCTGTAGACCTGTTGGGTTGCATTTTTTCCACACACGGATATTGCCAAACTCTCTAAGGATATTCAGGTTTTCCAGCCTTTCACCATCCCTGTTTTGTCCTAGAAAGAAAAATCAACCCAATTTACTCCTTGTGTGCTGCAGACTCCCAAATAAGCCACAGCAGAAGGATGAGGTGCTCAAATGCAGCAGAGTCGTAACATCCTCATGGGAGGCACCTGAAGCTGGAGGTAAATGCCTCTCACAGAGAGCAGTGAGAATTAGCAGGGGCTTCCCTTTGAGCTGTGCAGGTTTTGGCTGCTTTCCTCAGCAGAGAACACTGAGATGACTGGGAAGGAGCAAAGGCAGATGTGCATCCAAACAGATGTGGTCATTCTGCCACTGGGGCAAAGCCAGAGCAGCTTTAGGATGAGAATGGAGATAAATTGGAATAAAAAAAAAGGTATGGGAGGAGAACTGGAACCCTAATGTTGCTTTTTCTTTCAAACTGATCTGTACACATGTCACACAGTTGGATGTATGAATAGTAAATTATTCTATTCATTTCTCACTCTTGATGAACAGTAAATTAGTCTAATAACATTTACTGTTCAATTCATTGATTGTCAGAGGGAGATTAGAAGCAAATAGCTTTTAAGTCTTTCCAGCTGCAAACATTAGAGTTGTCTAAAGTTGTGATGTTTGACTGTAATTAGCTGCAGCTCTGCAGCCTCCCCCCTCCAGCTCTGCCAGCCTGGGGCAGCAGGGACCCCAAAATCACCTCAGCCAGGTGAGCTCTGACAGAGCAGGAACAGAAATTCATGGGTTTAACATCATTTACCCAAATGGCACAACACAGCAGGAGCAGCTGGGCAGTGGATAATCCAGAGAGCTGTGAGGGGTGTAGGGGTGTGTTTGGGGGTGTGTGAGCAGCCAGGCTGTGCCATGGCAGGAAAACCCTCGCGGTTCCTGTCTGCTGTTCGTGTCTCACACTGCCAGGAGGCTCCTGGAGCTGGCACCAGTGGGATACAGGTGTTTGGGCAGACAGAACAAGGCCCATAAAGCAGCAGAAGAGTCAGAAATGCCCACAGAGCTGCAGAGGGATGCCTGCCCTGTGGCTGTGTGCTCCTCTTTGTCATCCTGCTGCCCCTGGCCCAGCCCTGTGCTCCCAGCCACTGCTGCCCATTGAACAGACACAGAATTACTTGTGGCCAGGAGAAACCATAAACAGCAGAATCATTTCCAGCCCTGCCACAGCTTGGAGGTGTTTATTACCTTTATCTACACCCTGCTCCCCTTTCCTTCCACAGGACCAAAGGAGTAAATAAAAACAGCCTGCTCTTGCTATGCTGGTCAGGCTTTGTGTCTGTCCCCGACGTGCTCTGAGACACCAGGGATGGGGGAATTCATCCCTGCTGCATCCCAGAGCCCAGGGATGCTTTGGATCACCTTCTGCATCCCCTGCCATGGCTGGGGGTACTGTAACTCCACCAGGTTGTTCAGAGCTCTGTCCAGCCTGGCCTTGGACACTTCAGGGCTTGGGCGTCCACAGGGGTTGTGCCAG